GCTGCTGGTATCCGATGCTTACAATAATTCAAGTCAAAAATGGCCTTGATCTGCCCTCTTTAATTGGTGCTTCCTGAAATACCCTGTGAGCTCACTTGCACTTTGCCAGTTTTTCTGTGTGTGTTTTCCCTCCGCCTGCCACAGGGAAAATAAGCAGTTTTGATCGTCTGCATGAGATCTCAGGAAAGCAAAACCAGACATGGGATTTATATTTAGGAACACTCCAACACCTTCTGAGCGAATCCTTCCCGAATGTTTGGGATTTGGAAGAGGAAAGAAACTCTGTTTCTTTCTTTTTATTATTTTAAAAGGTCAAAGTAACCAACAGATGCCAGCGCTACCAGTGTCCTTCAGAGATCTTGAAGTTGCTGGGTGTGTACCTGTGTGTGAACTGTCATCATGCATTTATGGAACTGCTTTAATTTATTTAAAATAATCCTGATTCACTCATGGAACAAGTATACAGTAGCAGTCAGAGCGCTGGCCCAGAATGGGGAGGGTCATTCTCAAGCCCGTAACTGGATAGCTGATAATGGCAGTTAGGCTAGTGATAATTAAATACTGGAAACAGAACTGGGTTTTCCAAAGGCATGAATGGTATAATGAAATATGGAATATGGTAATTAATGGTAAACTGACGACAGAAATAACTAATTAAAAAGGGTTAATGAAAGCAAATAAATATAATGAAATTTGGGAAGATTTTGTAATAACAGTACTGATATAAGGCAAAGGTTGTAAATCTAATCAAGATTATATGAATTTCTGGAGGGGATATGGATATAATTGGAGTTTATTATATATTATTAATTGTTATGTGAATTAAGTGGAGGTAGTATTGGTCTCTGGGGTGTTGGGAGCACTTTATCATTTACTTTTTTTAATTATTGAGTTTTTGTATGTTATATTATTATTGTTGTGATGTGTTGTATTTATCGTTTTTTTCCTTCTGTTTAAAAAAAAAAAGAGGGGGCAAAGTCCATAAATGGGTAACTTTCGGTCAGTCAAAGAATTTCAGCCTAGCCTACCTCACAGAGTTGTTGTGAGGATAAACTAGAGAAGGGTGCCTTGGAGGAAACAGCAAGGCATTACCCTAAGTAGAATAAGCATAGGATGGGATGAGCAATGACTGACATGGCCAGTGGATGCTGGAAGTTGTAGTCCATCACTTCTGAAGGGCACTAGGTTGGGGAAAACTGTCCAGGACTATCCTGGGGAAGATGGAGGTAGAGACATAGACATATAGAAAGGCCGGAGAGAACCCTCTGGTTCAACAGATGATTTCCCTGATTATCTTCACATGACTTCAGGGACAGGGGAATGAAAGCTGCCCGAGAACTGATGGAGAAGTCCAAGGCCTTCCCTGGACATACTGGGCCAGCGTAGCCTAAACGTCTCCCGTGGGCACAGGCAGCTGGGAGCGCGTGTGCCAGCAGGAACTGGAAAATTGCGGGGAAGGCGGAATAAGGAAGCAGAGTGTCTGGGCAAAATTACTCCGCGCGGCAACACTGGAGCCCCACTTGTGCGTGAAGTTTGGGGCGCCACACTAGAGCTCGGGAGATCCGGGTTCGAGTCCCCGCTTAGCCCTGGAGCCCACCGGGCGACCTTGGGCCAGACACAGACTCCCAGCCTAGCCTACCTCACAGGGTTGTTGTTGTGAGGATAAGATGGAGAGGCAGAGAAATGAGTAAGCCACTCAGCTGCCTTGCAGAACCGAAGAAATGGAATATAAATTTTATTTATTTATTTATTTATTTTCCGATTTATATCCTGCCTTTTTCCTACAAAGGGCTCAAGGCAGCTTACATCTCCTCCTCCATCTTATCCTCACAACAACAACCCTGTGAGGTGTGTTGGGCTGAGAGTCTGTGACTGGCCCAAAGTCACCCAGTTGGCTCCATGGCTGAGCGGGGACTAGAACCCAGATCGTCTGAGTCCCAGTCCCAGGCTCTTAACCACTACACCACACTGGCTCTAAATGCTACATAATTATAATAATATCAGTTGCTCCATGACTGGAGATGGATCACTGGCTACTAAGTGGACACAGATAAAAGAGAAGACGCCAAGCATTGCTGGAGCAAGACCGCCGCACCTGCAAGACTGGATTTGTCTCGATCGCCTGTGCTGAGGCAGGCATCTTGCTCAGGTTGCCAAGGCGTTGCGATTTCAGGACATCTCAGCCCAGCTTCCTGCGTAGGGCCTGGGAGGGAGGATCCCTCTGTCCCCAAATGAGAGCAAAGGGCTCGGATCTTTTCCCCGATTCCCGACTGCTGTGCCTGCCCTGGGGGTGCCTTTCCAGCTTCCATGGCTCTTCCTTAGAATGTTGGTGTGAAGTCTATAAGAAACCACAATTATTTATCTTTGAAATTTAAATGTCACGCCCCACCCCTCTGCCGGTGCTTGTTTTCCTCCCATGTTTGGAATCAGGAACATGGGCAGACAGAGGGCTTATTGTGCCCGGCCGGGCACGGCTACACCCTTTCCTTTCCCATCCTTGCACAAGCCAGGAAATGCTTTGCTTCTTTCGGCCGGATTCAGAGCCGTGGCTGGAAGGCCGGCTGCTTCTGAGCTATGCTTGGAAGAGCCTCTGCTCAGACACGGACAATGAGTCCGACGTTCGCTGGGTTTCTGAAAAATGAAGCCCGGCTGTTCCAGGTGGAGCCCCGGGAACTGTTTTCTTTCTTCTGAAGTGCTAAGCACGACACTCATTTTGGCAGGGAGAGAACGCCCTTTATACTGTTTGGAGAAACATAGAAACATAGAAAACAGCGCGAGTCAGAAGGGGTCTCCCGGGCCATCTAGTCTGACCTCCGGCACCAGCCGGCTCTGCTCACGACATGCCCACCATGTGGACGTCCAGCCTATCCTTGAACACCCACACCGATGGGGCCTCCACGACCTCCCGGGGAAGCCCATTCCACACCCTCGGGGTCCTGACTGTCAGGAAGGGCTTCCTGGCATCCAAATGGAACCTGGGTTCCCTGAGCTTTGCTCCATTGGGGCGCGTCCTGCCTTCCTCTGCAGGGGAGAACAGGTCTCTATCCACCTCTGTGTGACACCCCCTCACACACCTGTATGTTGCCAACATACCCCCTCTGAGTCTCCTCTTCGCCAGGCTGAAGAGGCCCAGTTCCCTCAGTCTCGCCTCATACGGCATCCCCTGCAAACCGGCCACCAGCCTTGTGGCCCTTCGCTGCACTGACTCCAACCTGGCTATATCCTTCCTGTAATGAGGGGCCCAAAAGTAAGCACAATACTCCAGTTGCGGGCGCACTAGAGTCGTATAGAGTTGTAGTAATACCTCTCCTGATCTAGAAGCCACACTTCTGGCTGTGCAACCAAGGGTGGTGTTCGCCCTCTTGGCCACCGCATCACACTGCTGGCTCATGTTCAGCCTGCAGTCAACCAGCACCCCGAGGTCCCTTTCACAAGCGCTGCTCTCCAGCCACTTGTCACCTAACCTGTACTTATGACACCCATTCCTATGCCCCAAGTGCAAGACCTTGCACTTATCCACACTGAACGCCATCCTGTTGTCTCCTGCCCACTTCCATAGTCTGTCCAGATCCTTTTGGAGCTGGAGTACCTGCTCCTCAGTTGTGGTCACTGCTCCAGTTTTAGTGTCGTCTGCGAATTTGATCAGCAGACTGTTCACCCCTTCTTCCATGTTGTTAATGAAAAGATTAAACAGGATCGGCCCCAGGACAGAGCCCTGGGGGACCCCGCTTGTCACTGGCTGCCATCCCGATGATTCCCCACTAATGGTTACTCTCTGCTTTCGGTCAGTCAACCATGCCCTAATCCACCAGACAGCGCTTTGGTGTATCCCAAAACTCCTCAATTTCTCCACCAGGATATCATGGGGCACTTTGTCAAAGGCCTTGCTGAAATCCAGGTATACCACATCCACTGCATCCCCTCCATCCAGCCACCTCGAAACCTTGTCATAGAATCCCACAAGGTTTGTCTGGCAGGACCTGTTTTTGCGGAGACCGTGTTGTGTGGCTGCCAGCCTCCCTTCCCTATCTAGCATCACTAGATCTCTCTCTATTATGAGCCTTTCCATTGTTTTTCCTACAATGGACGTAAGGCTAACCGGTCTATAATTCCCCATGTCCTTTCTACTACCCTTTTTGAAAATTGGGACCACTGATGCCACCCTCCAGTCCTCAGGAACTTCACCCGTTCTCCACGAGCCCTCAAAAATGGAGGCCAGTGGGCGTGAGAGAACCCCTTCCAACTCTCTAAGTACTCTCGGGTGTAACCCGCCAGGGCCTGGTGCCTTTGTAACGTCCAATGCCCTGAGGAGCCCCTCGACTTCAAGGGGGGGGTGACTCTAATCTGTGCCCCTAAGTCCCCGGCCTCATCTAATGTCCTATGTGGATATCCCCCGTCCTGCTTTGGGGAGAACACAGAGGCAAAATAGTCATTTAGCATCTGTGCCTGTTCCCTCATATCAGTCACTGGATCCCCTTCCTCCTTAGTTAGTGGTCCCACTACTTGTCTCCCCTTCCTCTTCCTATTTACATGCTGAAAGAAGCCCTTTTTGTTGCTCTTGATATTCTTGGCAAGTCTCAGCTCCTAATCAGCCTTAGCCTTGCGAAGAATCCTTCTGCAATGGGCCTCCTCCCCCCCGGTATACTCTTTTGTCTATTTGCCCCAGTACCCACTTCCTACAGAGGTTCCTCTTGTGTCTAATCCCTCTGACCACCTCCTTTCGCATCCATGGTGGCGCTCTCCTCCGCCTCCCCACCTTACTGACTAGAGGTATCGTCAAGGCTTGCGCCTCCAAAACCTCCCTTTTGAGTACCATCCACCCCTCCTCAACTCGCTTACCTTCCAGTAACCCATCCCAGGAGTCTTTCCCCAGTCTGGCCTTCAGTTGGCCAAAGTTGGCCCTCTGGAAGTCCCAGCTTCTAGTTTCGCTCTTGTGGAGGCGGGCAAGCAAAGAGGACATGAGGAGGAGGAGGGAGGGAGGGAGGCAGAGACAGTGCCAGGCAGAGACCAGCAACGTCTTTCCTTGTATTCGGCAGCGATCCGTCTTCCGTGGCCCTTCTTGGCAAGAACGCTTGCCTTCCTGACGGAAAGCGAGAGGCGGCATTGCGGCTGCCCAGGACTTTCAGGGCCGCTCAGCAGCCAGCCCTCCTGTCGCTCCACGCTGCAGCTCTCGCTCTGCGCTGTATCGGAGCTGCCCGGGCTGCTTGCTGGGGGTGGCAGATCGACAGATGGGGGGGCATGAGCCTGTGAGTTCTCTTTGGGGGTTATGGGAGAGGGTTCCTACACATTATGAGTTCCTGCACTTCAGTAATGAGCATTACACAACTGTTGTTGTTGTTGTTGATCTCTCCTTTTCATTCTCTCTGCCTTTCAAGGTTTTGGCTGTCCATTTAACATCGATGTGAAAAGACCGCAGATATTCCGCGGCCCACGGGAAGCGCAGTTTGGGTACAAAGTCCTGCAGCACTCAGCGCAAGGGCAAAAATGGTGAGTCCACCCCTGTTAGATGGGGCCTGGGGGGTGCCGAAACCAACTAGATCTCCCCCCCCACACACACACACAAAAACAGTTTATCACCCACAGCTCTGAAGGAAAGCAGTTGGTTGTCCAGAAAATCAGGGAAAGATTTCTCCTTCCAAGCCTGTGGCACTCAATTTGTTGCTACGTTATAGATATATTTATGTTAAAAGTGGCTAAGGAAGAACCTTGCCTGCGTCCCGGAGACCTGCTGCTGCCAGCCAGCGCTGACAGTACTGGGCTGGGTGGACCAAGGGTGAGACTGAACCCTAGCAGCTCAGCTTTAACACACCTGCTTGGTCTGCAGGAGGTTCAAATGCTAACCGCATCTCCAGGCAAGGCTGCAAAAAGCCCTTCTGAGTCCCTGCAGAATTGCTGCTGCCAGTCAGTGTTGGCAATACTTGGCTAGAGGGACCCAGGGCCTGACATGGTGTAAGGCAGCTTCCACTGTTCTACTGTTAAATTGCATTTTCACTCAGAGCCATGAGGACTGGAACCATAATTTACCTTTGGGGGAAAGGACTCCAGTTCCATGGTAGAACTGCTGCCTGCCTGTGTCCGGAATCCTGAGCTAAATGATCACAAGGCATGACTTAATGTGGAATGCCAGCATCCAGAAGCAAAGGAATATGGGGGGCAGGCTGTCGTCATATTTTCCTCTGAAATCACTTTTCCCGCTCAAAATCACCCCCTTTCCAATCTAATGGTGCTTCAGGAATACGGTCACTTTGGATTCGGCTATGAACCTGCACCTCCCGATTGACGCTATTCCACATGCATTTCGCGTTGCAGCTTGTTTCAGATGCCTTCAGATAGCTCTTTGAAGAGGAAATGTGCCCGTGGATACATGTATTAAAGATGCATTTCCGAGTGGGCTTCCTTAGGATGAGCAAGCGGCACAGGACAGATGCAAACTCCAAAAATAGCAGCTCAGCCGCCTCCTTGGCGCTTTCCCCTCCAGCGGTGTCAGTGTGGCCCGTGTGGAAGGGCCGGCCCTTGTCCAAAGCTGTCCACAGCCTACCCCACCCCGAGGTCTGACCCCAGTCTGGACAGATCCACATGGGCAAAGCTCTCCCACCAGTTCCCCTCTGCCAGGAGCTGCTCTTTGTGAAGCTAATGGACGTCACGGCCGCCCCAAACATTTGCATCGCAACAGGGGACCAGATGGTGAAGATGGGAAGATCCACCCCTGACTCCCCCGTGAGGACTGTGCCTGAACCAGAGGGAGGAGGGCGCTGGGGAGGCAGCGCCTCCTCCCCCGTAACTTTCCCCCACATGGGTCAAAATCAGCCTGGAAAGACCGGTTTTGAGCAGGGACCCTCTTCCAGCAGCCCTCCCTAACCTGGCGCCCTCCAGATCACACCTCCCATCATCCAGCCCAACCCAGCTGCAGGGCAGCAGGTTAACAGCCCTGCTTCCTGCCCCGTGCCGGGCAGAATCGCTGACCCCGAGTGAAACGATTCAAAGGCTCCAAGTTGGCTTCTCACTCCGGAACAAAGCGTTCCCGCCGACGCTCCCCCTTCCACCCCCTTTCCCCCGTTTAGATCGGAAAAGGACCTGCTGTCCCGGTGACACAGCAGTGGAGTTTTATGCTCTTGAAAATGAAAAAACAGAGAGGAGCTGCTGGCAGCTGCTTGAGAATAATTCCCTACTGGAGGCAGAGTCTGTGTGTCGGACGTCCAAAGGTTGCGTTAGGAGCCGCGGTAGCCAAGGAATGGGGCCCAGAGACAGGAAGCGTGGTCCCAGTGGGTGCTGGTGGGCGTCGAGCAAAGGCTGAGCTCAGCCCCGCGATGGCCCCAAGCCACCTGGAGGACCTGCTGCGGAACGGCTGCTCCAAGCCCCCAGCCGCCACGGCCACTGGTGCGAGGCCAGGCAGGGTGTGTTGCGGAGGGCGGCAGGGGGGCCTTGCCAGGCCTCTGTCCAGTCCGGCGTTCCGGTCATGCAGGGGCCAACCAGCTGCCTGTGGGACACCCCCGCCCAAGCCCCCCAGCAAGCCAGATGGGGTCTCTGGCCCAGGAGAAGCATCTGTCCACCCGGACCATTTGTAGCCCCCTGGCCATTGCCAGGGGTCTTGGCTCCCGGGGAGGAGGGCTTCCAACTGGGAGCGGGGCCCTTGAGCCTTGGCAAGCAGCCAAGTTGCCAAGATCAACAGGTAGTGCTTCCTGTAATGCTGCAATAACAGACATGTGCCCCTCGGAGCCTGCTTAGGAAATTAGAAGCTACTACTTCGTTTTCATGTAATAATAATATGTAGCATTGAGATGCCACTTTTGAGTGCACCGTGCTCTGTTCTGGAACGCGCGATCTGAGCAGGCTTGCAGAGGTGTGCTGGTAGTCCAAGCAGCACCATCAGAACTGCCCCGTTGCGGCTGGGTCGGTGTTAGCCCTGGGCCGACTTGGCTAAACCGGAGAGCAGATCTGCGGGCGGGCAGAAGTCTAGCCTGGCTGCATCTGAAACCCCAAGAAGGCAGGTGAAGGCAGGGGATGCCAGTAAGTGGGCGAGCAGCAAAGGAGGAAGAGGAAAGTCCAGGAGCACAGAGGACTAGTCGCGAAGAACAGCCAGGGAGGAAGGCACCCCAGAGCTAGCAGGAAGGTGCTGATCCGGCATCCAGCAAGTGCCAGCAGAAAGTTCATACAGCCAAAACAGAGAAACAGAGCGAGTCAGAAGGGGTCTCCCGGGCCATCTAGCCTGGCCCCCGGCTCCAGCCGGCTCCACTCACGACATGCCCACCATGTGGACGTCCAGCCTATCCTTGGACACCCGCACCGATGGGGCCTCGACCACCTCCCGGGGAAGCCCATCCCACACCCTCGGGGTCCTGACTGTCAGGAAGTGCTTCCTGGCATCCAAATGGAACCTGGGTTCCCTGAGCTTTGCTCCATTGGAGCGCATCCTGCCTTCCTCTGCAGGTGAGAACAGGTCTCTCCCCACCTCCGTGTGACACCCCCTCACGTACCTGTATGTCGCCAACAGATCCCCTCTGAGTCTCCTCTTCTCCAGGCTGAAGAGACCCAGCTCCCTCAGTCTCGCCTCATACGGCATCCCCTGCAAACCGGCCACCAACCTTGTGGCCCTGCGCTGCACTGACTCCAACCTGGCTATATCCTTCCTGTAATGAGGGGCCCAAAACTGAACACAATGCTCCAGTTGTGGGCGCACCAGAGTCGTGTAGAGTGGTAGTAATCCCTCTCTCGATCTAGAAGCCACACTTCTGGCTATGCGACCAAGGGTGGCGTTCGCCCTCTTGGCCACTGCGTCACACGGCTGGCTCACGTTCAGCCCAAGGTCCCTGCTGCTCTCCAGCCACTTGTCCCCTAACCTGTACTTATGACAGCTATTCCTATGCCCCAGGTGCAAGACCTTGCACTTAATTCACATTGAACGCCATCCTGTTGTCTCCTGCCCACTTCCATAGTCTGTCCAGATCCTTTTGGATCTGGAATACCTGCTCCTCAGTTGTGGCCATGCCCCGGTTTTGGTATCGTCTGCGAATTTGGTCTGCAGACTGTTCAACCCTTCTTCCATGTCATTGATGGAAAGATTAAACCGGATTGGCCTCAGGACAGAGCCCTGGGGGACCCCGCTTGCCACTGGCTGCCACCCCGATGATTCCCCACAAATGGTTACCCTCTGCTTTCCGATAGTCAACCATGCCCTCATCCATTGGACAGTGCTTTGGTGTATCCCAAAGACTCCACTCAAGGCTCAGCTGCAGTTTGCCAGCATAAGGGCAGGAGTCCTGCTCATAAGTAAGACCAAAACTCCTGGGAAGGAGTAATAAATGTGTAGTTTAGGGCCTTGGAAGGCGTACCGAGAGGCAGCGGGGGCCATATCTTCTGGTGCTGATGGGCAGCAGCTGAGCCTTCCTCGGGACCCCATCCGTTGGGTTCCTGGGTCCGCCACTGTTGAAGCGATGCTGAAGGACTTGGGATGACCTGTGCACCAGTGGGCCTCATGGTTGGCTGGGCCCCGAGTCAGGCCTGGCAAGGACAGGATGGCTCTTTCAAGCGCCCTTCCTTCTCTCCCATGAGGTATTTTCCTCACAGTTCCCCAGCAAGGGAGGGCCCGGCCGGTGCAGCACTGACGAATAAGCCAGGAAAGAGTCAGCCGAAAAGCATCTCCCAGGAGGGTGCGAAAGAACGCTTTGCTTGTAGGCGGATTTTTCTAAAAAATGGGAAAGCGATCATGCTTCCTGAGGTGTCCTCTGTCTCCTCCTCGAACACTCAATAATAAAGGAAGCCAAAGCTAAATGTAGCCATACATGCACTCTGGATTTCAGAAAAGCTGGCGTCGATAAATCTGGGATGAAAACCGACAAAGTTCCATGACAAGCCTCTGCAAAGGGAAGAGGAGCTCAGGAAGAGCGGGTGCTTCAGGCACAACTGCACGCAACTCCAGCAAGGGAAAAAGCATATTACTAATGCAGGGCATTTCTCTGCCATGCTTGGCCAAAACTCTCTGGGTGGTTCTCAACTTTTAAGCCGCCCATCCAGGTTTCCGCTGGGCCTGGCCTTGCCAAGCTTTCCAGGTGAGACGGCCAAGCGCTTCCAGCTGGACGGAAGTTTCGCTCAGCAGATGTCACAGGAAGCCCCGCGGCTTCACAGAACACGGAGGGAGAATCTGCAAACAGAAAGGGGCGAGAACAGCCGTGGAAAGAAGGCCGGGCTGCAAAGGAAGACGATAGGCAAGTAGCAAGGAACTGCAGGGAGGACCCCAGGAGGACTCCAGCAGTGAGCGGACTGAGCTAGCGAGAGGAGCTGAACCCAAGAAAAAGCCTGCTTCAGAAATGCCCAGAGCAAAAAACAGGTGGAAGAGAAGGACGCGCAGCCACTCACTGTGGGTGGCTGGGAAATGGTGGAAGTGCTCAACTCCTGCTTTGGTGCATCCTCCCAAAAGACAACAGATTTATCTTCTTCCAATTATTAAACAATTCCTCAGAATAAAAGCCAAGGTCTAAGATAGGCTAATGACAGGGAAAAGCCCGGATAAACAAGTACGCTTTCGATACTTATTGGGAGCCTGTGATCGCCTGCGCCCGGTGCATCACGGAAGGGGAATCCCTGCGGAAAGTGGGGTCACCACCAAGCAGGCCTCCAGCTGTGCCTCCGACCGGGTGTGACGTGCTGAACAAGCCAAGGGGGCCTAGCAGGAAGCAACCTTCCGGGTCAGCTGCTCCTAAGCTGTGCAGGGCTTTCTAGGCCGACCCCAACAGCAATTTCAGGCGCAGCTCAGTAGCAAAGTGGTAGCCAATTTAAGTGGTTGAAAGAAGCTCATCTGATACATTTTTAAGTAAAGAGGGATTCAATGCATAATAGGGGCACGGAGAATAAGTCTGACAGATGCGTATGGGTGCAGCGCTGTCTGAGAAAGGCACAGGGCCACAGGGCGGCTCTGGAGGAGCATCACACAAGGTCGGGATCAGGGGAGTGCCGAGGCAGGTGGCGTGGGGTTCCCAGCGGTGGGTTCATTCCAGCACTGGGGAACGGGGATGGGCTGTCGGGGTTGCCTTCCCTCTGTGCCCCAGGCCAAGAACTGGATTGCCCAGCGCAGCTCTGGGTCTGGGGGTGATGCTGCCTGTGGACTCAACCCCCTTTCCCTTCTCCAGCGACCATTCCAGGGAAAGGGCCCCTCCCTGGCTCAGGGAGTCAGGACATCAATACTTTTTAAATACCTTGCAATGCTTTTTAAAGGCCAAGCTGATCCTTGAAATCCCACAAAAGCCCTGTGAGGTAGGCCGGGCACACATTCCTCTTCCCATTTTATAAACAGGAAGATGAACTTCAGGGATCCAACTGGGTTCAACTGGGTTATTGTGTTCCTCCCCCACCACCCGGCCCCTCACCCTCTGGTGGGATTCCTGGGCCTGAGTTCAAAGAAGGCCAACATGGAACAGGTAGAGCTTTTCCTGCCGTCAGTTGCAATGATGGGGAGAAACCCTGCGCTGTTTTCTGCCATCGTCTTTTAGAGGTATCGCTGCTGACCAAGATTAGTGGAGGGTGAAGGCTGGAGGCTGGGCGTGTAATTCCTCAGTGTGGGATCGACCTTTCCCCTAAAATTATGTCAGAGCACCCTGGAAAATGCTACAGCTCTGCGGGCAGAGTCTAATCTCGTGCCGGCTTCATCATGCCTGTTTTTCTCTCGGCAGGATGCTGGTGGGAGCTCCCTGGGATGGAACGGCGGACGACCGGAAAGGTGACATCTACAAGTGTGTCATAGGAGGCAGAAGCAACTCGACGTGCTCCAAGGTCAACATAGGTGGGTGGCGCCAGCGGGTCGGGGCTGGGGTGCCCCTGGGCCCCTCCTGGGCGCTGCAGCTCGGCTCCTGCTGGGCTCCGGGGCTCTCCGGGTGGACTCAGTTGCGGAAGCAATGGGGGAAGCGCGCCAAGTGTGGCTCGGCGTTTCAGGAGTGGGACCGGGACTTGGGATGTCCCGGTTCTGGCCCCTCTCGACCAGGGAGCTCGCGGGGTGAGTCATGCACGCTCGGTCTAGCCTACCTCACAGGGCTGTTGTGTGGACTGGATGGAGAGGAGGCGCCTTGGGTTCCTAGCAGGTGGGAAAAGGAGAGGCGCAAATCCAACGAGACGCTGCTGCCGATCATTTTGGGTCGCTGCTCCTGGAGCTTTGCCTCCGGCATTCCAGCTTCCTGGCACTTTGGTGGAGGCACAGGAGCCGTGCCAGCAGAGGAGCCGCCGGCCCTCAGCCTTTTCCCCGCGTGCAGGGCGAGTAGCCTGGGTTGCGGGGCTCGATCTGGGTGCAAGCGTGTTTGCTGCAGAGGGGCAGCCCTTGTTGCGCCCAAAGCCGAGCCTGGGGACAGCGTTGCTCAAAGTAGGGAGAAATCCCTGGCTATTGATTTACTCAGATTAGATGCATATCCCACCCTTTTTCTTGCAAGGAACCCGAGGAGGCGTACAAAATTTTCCTTCTCCATTGTGTCCTCATAACAACCCTGCAAGGTAGGGCAGGCTGAGAGTCAGTGACTGGCCCAGAGTCACCCAGTGGCAGAGAAGCTGCACCTGCCGACTCCCAGTCCGGTGCCAGCCACACCACCACATGGGCTCTTTCTAGGGCGGGACAGGATCGTGAAGGCCATGTAGTCCTTCACCCTTGGTCAGCGCAGCATGCATTCTGGGAAACTCGTGCCACGCTGGCTGGGGCATCTTGGGAAAAGTGCCACAACACGCCAGAGGAGGCAGAGTGCAGGACAGTGCAGTTGCTTGCTGGACGGCGATCATTGCCTTTCTCAAGAGTCCAGAGATTCCCATGCAGCCTGCCGCAACACGGAATCCGATGCGGGAGACTGCGGGAGGCGTGTGAGCCGCAGGAGGTGCAGGTCGACACAGCACTGGGGTGTCGGGGCAACCCACTCCCCGCCGGCTCCCCCAGCCTCACCATGTTGTGCTTTTCCTCCCTGCTCCACTTCCCCCTCCCCCTCGCATCCCCCCCTTCCCTCCTCCTCTCGACCCCCTCCTCCACGGTGAACTGAAATTAGGCGACATGGCCCTTCGGAACAGCTCCAGGCAAATAAGAAATATGCACTTCGGAATGACGCTTGTGGCCAACAAGGATGACGGGTTTGTGGTGAGGAACTTTTCCGGTGTATTTCAATTAAACGCACTCACGCACACACGCACAAGAGACGTGCGCAACCAGCGATCTATAAAAAGCCACGCACCCTGCAATTATGTCAGTGGAGGCCAAGGGAACTGCCAGGCCCCTCTGTGCCAGCCCGGCTGCTGTCAGTGAGACAGTGGAGGAGGCACTCGATCTGATAAGGGTCTGGCTTGCAAACTGGAGAAAGGCGCCCAGGCCGTTGGACCGGCTGCGAGCCGAAGGGGCACCGGGATCGTCTGTCCGTCTGTCTGTCTGTTGGCAGATCGATTCACAGACAGTGAGGATGTCTCCACGCACGACATCGTCGCTTGATCCCAGAGAAGGCCAGTGCCTTCTACGTAATTGTTTATTGTTTATTCATTTTCCTTTTGTTCCTTATAATAATTTTATATATCACATTTATATATTTATATAATTATTATAATATAACACTATGAATAAACAATTATTTATAATAATTGTTTATTCATTGTTCTGAATTTGTGCTGGCTGGATCGCTCTTCAGTCTGTCATGCTTAGCAAAGAAAATCATGGGCTAGTCCGAGGAATGCCTTCATAATTTACTCACTATGTGAAGGAAGAGGCGAAGGTCTAGTCCAGACAGGATTCAAGAGAGAGACTGAAAGGCCGAGCACGGGGGAAATAGTGGCCATGCTCCCCCCTTCCCACCCGAGCATGGCTTCCGTTTCGGAGCAGCCGCCCCAAAATCAACACTCGGGGCTTTTCATAAAATGCAAATCAGCAGCAACGATTCAGATTCAGGTTTAGGTTTTCAGGAGCCACATGGAGAGGATGCACAGAATTCGGTTATATCTCCGGGGAAAGAAGTGTCTTTTAAGAGTGCTTGTTGTGTCTAAGCTTTTCACACCCCAATATAGTTATGGCAACCTTTTATCAACACAGATAAGACACCCAGCTTTTCGCATTACTGTTAAGCCGAGGAATTTGCTGTGTGGGACCAGGGAGGGGGAGGCCATGCACCCATCCCGTGGCATGCCAAACGTGGCCCAGATCCTCAGGCTACCCAAGCGGTGCCCCACTGGGAAGGCAGGGATGGGGGGACGGCTGCCTACTGGATTCCAGCCCACCGCACACCACCGCCTGCGATGCAAAGGAGAAGCAAACGGGCGGTCCTGGGAGGAAGAGGAGGGCACTCAGAGGCCCCTGGAAGCGAGGACGGAGACCCCCGGAGCAGCCGCACTCCCCGTCCGTCCGCACCGCTGGTGGGAGAGGCGGCGGCGGCAGCGACGTTGCCGGGCCAGCTCGCCTGGGCGTTCCCGCCCGCAAGCCGAGGCTCATGTTTACTCAGGAAGCCGGCGGGAGCGCCTGCTGAAGCAGCCTGTGGGCAGCCAGGCGGGCGGAGGGTGCCCTGTGCAAATCGCCCTGCTAGGAAGCTGCAGCAGCTGTACAAAGGAGCTATTCTGAATGCTTCGCACCGCGGGAGACAGAGTTCTCAGTCGCGGGTTCCTTGCACGTGCAAAGGCATGTACTGGGGAGAGAGGGGGTCTTCTGACCTGACTCTGGTAAGTCACCTGCAGGGTGACCGGCAAGATTCCTCTGGTTCCCCGCTGCTTCTGCCCCCCTGCCCGGCAGGTGCGTGGCCTTGCCTGGCAGGTGCCTCTCTCCGGCTGCTTGGGGAACCGGAGGCGCCCTCCTTTGGCCTCCTAAGACGGGCCGAAGTCGGCCTCCCGCGAACGGGGAAGCCGAGCTCTGCAGGGCAGATTCAGGGATTCAAGGGGGGGCTTTTCACTGACGCCTCCACCTCATACGTGTGCAAACTTACAGGAAGAAAGGTTTAAGAAGATTTAAAGATTTTATATCTGATGAGAAGGTTTTAAAATGGTTTTTGCGTAACTGCAGTTCAACAGTACCTCACGGGAGTGCGTCCGTCCGCCCGTCCGTCCGTCCGTCATGTGTCCGGCGTGGTCGGGCAGTCCTCCTGTTTCTTTCTTCCCTTTGGCAGGCGTGTGCCCCTCTCTGGTCCCAGGAATGTGGCACATCCATGTTCAGCACCGGGATTTGCACCAGTGTGGATGAAAACTTCCAGCCGACGGAAAACATCGCTCCCACAGCTCAGAGTAGGTTTGGCTGCTGCATTGTGCAGAATCTCTGAAATGATACTCCTGGTACATCTGAGCCCCAGGGCATCCGACTCGAGTAGAAAAGGAAACACTTTGTGCATGCTCAGAGACCCTCTTTGTTTTGTTTGGCCTGATTCACAGAAGGCCCTTTTCTGTCTTGCAGGGGTGGGACTGCTCACCTGGTTCCAGAAAGAGAACAGTGTGTAGGGGCCAGGTGAGCCTCTTGGGCGAGTTCATTCCCTAATGCAGGGCCAGGGCAGAGAAGGCCTCGCCTTGGGAGTCAATTACCTGGCTTTGTTTGGCAGGGATTCCCCCAGAAAGGCCACTGAGAGCAGGTATCTATGGGGGGAGGCCGCCTTCCATCCCATGGAAGCCATTTTGAGGAAGCATGTGGCACTCCTAGAACTCTGTATGTGCCCATGAACTCCAGAAAGGTTGAGGGCCCTGCCATGCTTGCCTAGAAGGGCAAATAGCCTGGCCTGGTTCATGCGCCAGCTTTCTCTGTTCAAGGCGGGTGTTTTTTTGAGTTGAGAAACTGCCACGGCGGGCGACGTCCGGTGCCCAAAGCATTAAGCTTAGGCTTCAGCCTACAGGCCCCGTTTCACGGCGGCCCCCAGCACGGGGGGCCTTGCCCCATGAGGCCTGACTCACGCCCTGGAAAGCGGAACTGGGGCTCTGGAAACCCGTCTTGTGCCGGTGAGTTTGCTCCACGTTCGCACTGCGGCTGAAAACAAGCCGGTCCTTGGACTGCAGCGGGAAGTCTGTGTCAGCGTGTCTCACCGCGGCCCTCGTGGTCACGAGAGCCCTGCCCAGGGTGCCCTGCAGGACCTTCGCCGCTTCCAGTGGCTCTCCAGGCACAGCTCCCGCTGCCCCAGTCCTGGGCATGCTGGGAAGTATGGGCATTTCCCCCCCGCGGTGGCCGGGGCATGCTGGGAGATGTCGGAACGTTTCCGTCTGAGCGGGATTGATGGTGGTGCTGCTTGTGATGTCCTGGGTTTGGTTAAGGATTCGTTGCTCAGCGGCTCTTGTGGCTCTTTGGCAGGAAAGAGCGATGACACTGGTTGCTCCGTCTTGACGGGAAGAGGGTCCCTTCTGGCTGCCTCTCCCTCCCCTCCTCTGCTCTCGTGTAACGTTCTGCGTTTCCGACTTCATGCAGGATGTTCCACTTACATGGACATCGTGATTGTGGTGGATGGGTCCAACAGCATCTACCCCTGGTACGAGGTGCAGAACTTCCTCAGCAACATCCTGAGCAAATTCTTCATTGATCCAGAGCAGATCCAAGTGAGTTTCATTTGCAGATCAGTTGGGCAGCAAAATCATGAAGGACAAAGTCGTGGTCAGAGGCTGAGAGGGGGAGCCTTTCGGGAAGGGCTGTCTACAGCAGCTAGCTCCCCCCACCCCAGTGCCCCGCAGCTGCTTTGGACTTCAGCCTGCCTTGCCGCAGTCCTTTGCAGAGGCTGTTCTCCATATGTCCCTTCTGGGAATCCCCTGGGGGCTCAGCATGGGAACGGGGCATCGTCTGAGATGGCCCCATATCTTTAGAACATGCCTCTAAAAAACAGTATTAACTAACTTAGTAATGCAATACAAGAAACACATCAATAACAAAAAATAAAGGAAAAGTCTTACAATACAAATAAATCGAATCATATAAACCAATCAAAGCAATTAATAGAAACACAGAAACAGAGCGAGTCAGAAGGGGCCTCCCGGGCCATCTAGTCTGACCTCCAGCACCAGCCGGCTCCGCTCACGACATGCCCACCATGTGGACGTCCAGCCTATCCTTGAACAATTATAATTTAACTATAATTAATAGTTAAATTATAACATCTGCAACACAAAAGGTGGGACCTTCAGTTACATAACAATTATTTATTTATATCATTAATTACCCCTCTTCTCGTTTGCTGCTGCTTCGCCCTCTCAGGAAGACCCTTCCACATCCAAAGTTACATTGAGTCATAGGGAAGTTTAATACCCTTCCCTTTTGTTAATGCACATTCAATGAACAACCCTTAAATGTCATCAAAATTATTCTTATTTGTCAACCATTTTTTCACCTTAATACTGGATGTTAACTTGTCATTAATAGCTATATTCCAAATGTCCTTCTAACATTCACGTAATTGGAGATGACGAGTTTCTTTCCAATTCTTTGATATAATTAATCTAATATTTTAATAAATGGTTATTTATTCTTTAATATTCCATTTCTAATTTCTTGCATGAAATAGTGACAGTAATACAATTCCAGAGTCTACTTCCTGTTCTAAATTTAATATTTTGCTAATTTCCTTAAAAACATTCACTTTCCATAATATTTTCACATTCCTGGCATATTCCTGAAATAGGTACCCACTTTCTGACTACAACTCCAATATATGTTGTGATACTTATTATCCGTATAATATAATTTTACCACTGTCAGATGCCACGTCCATGCTAATGTGTAGACGTTTTCCTTTGTTCTAATTGACTTACATTTTACTATTCTCTTATTCCATACTTTTCCCCATTATTCCTTACCTATATCCCCGGAGCTTGTCCAGAGCTGTTGCTTTTCAGCATCAAGCAAAGGCATACTAATTTTCCCGGGCATTTGGTAAACAGTGAGGTTCAGTTTGGGGCCATGTTTGTTAGGTTTGCTTCTTATAGTTCAATTCTTGGGGGTCATTCTGGGCTGCTATTTTGTTTATTTCTGTATGAGCACTTTCATTTGTGTTTTTTTGCCAGATTATGCTTTTAAGATACTTATTTTTACTTGTATTATTTTGCTCATAAAGGTTTCTGTGGATTCCCACTTGCATTTTGTAAATCTTGGGTTTCTGTATTAGGCATATAGAATCATAGAATGGCAGAGCTGAAAGGGGCCATGAAGGCCATCGAGTCCACCCCCTGCTGTTGCAAGACACCAGGTCACACCCTCCCACTCAGGTGGCTGCCCAGGTTCTTTCTGAATGCCTCCAGTGCGGGAGAGCCCCCCACCCCTCCGGGCAGCTGGTCCCACTGTTGTGTTGCTCTGACAGTGAGGAAGCTTTCCTGACGTCCAACCTGAATCTGGGTTGTTGCAACTTGAACTGATTGCTCCGTGTCCTACACTCTGGAATCAGGAAGAGGAGATCCTGACCTTCTTCTTTGTGACAGCCTTTGAGGTCCTTCTAGAGGGATATCATGTCCCCCTCAGTCTTCTCTTCTCAAGGCTGAACATGCCCAGCTCCCTCAGTCTCTCCTCACAGGGCAGCGTTTCCAAACCCTGGATCATTTTGGTTGCCCTCCACTGACCCTTTCTAATTTACCTGCATCTTTCTTAAATCTTGGTGCCCAGAAGTGGACACGGTATTCCAGGTGAGGTCTGAGTAGTGAGGCGTACAGAGGAACTTCTATTTCTTGTGATTTGGCAGTAATGCTTCTGTTAATGCATCCCAAAATAGCATTTGCCCTTTTGGTGGCTACATCCATTGCTGGCTCATGTTTAGCCTCTTGTCCACAATTACTCCCAGATCCTTTTCTTTTTGAGTTCTTTTGAGCCACATATTCCTCATCTTGTATCCATATTGAATCTCTACTTGTCCTTATCAAATCTCATTCTGTTGCTTTCAGCCCAGTGTTCAAGTTTATGATGATTGCTCTGGATCTTCATTCTGTCTTCGAGGGTGTTTGCTCTTCCATCCAGTTTTGTATTGTCTGCAGATTTGATTATCTTTCCTTGTACTTCCTCATCTAAATCATAAATAAAGATGTTGGCGAGCACTGGGCCCAGGACTGAACCCTGTGGCACCCACTAGTTTCCTCCATCCCATGTGAGAAGGTGCCATCGATGGGCACTCTTTAGCAGTGTCCAATTTAGCAGCCAATTTTGGATCCACCTAATAGTTTTTCCATCTTGTCCAATTTTTGGTAATTTGCTTATCAGAATGTCATGTGGCACTATGTCGAAAGCTTGGCTAACGTCTAGGTAGATTATGTCCACAGTGTTCCCTTTGTCCACTTGGGAGGTTACCCAGTCAAAAATTGAGATTAAATAAGTTTGACAGGATTTATTTTTGATAAATCCATTCTGGCCTCTATTAATCACTGCATTTTCTTCAAGCTGCTTGCAGATGGTTTTTTTTACTAATTTGCTCCAGAATTTATCCAGGGATTGAGTCCCAGCTTCATCTCCCCCACTTTTGAAGATCGGCACAGTGTGAGCCCCTCTCCAGTCATCTTGCCAGTGACGGGCTCAAATCCGTTGCTCCAAGTCTCAAGGCAAGACTCAAGTCATGACTTTCAAGTCCAAGTTGAGTCTCAAGTCATTGCAAGAAATTTTTGAGTCGAGTTGCAAGTCTCTTCTGAAGTCTCAAGAGCCAAGTTCTTCTAGTAATTGCTGCATGGCTTTCAAGCTGTTTGCAGGCTGACTGCTGCAGAATCTGCTCCAGAATTTCCCCAGGGACTGATGCCAGACTGACTGGCCTACAGTTCCCAGGCCGCTCTTCTTCTTTTTCTTGAAGTTCAAGGGAGCATGAGCCCTTCTCCAGGCGTCGGGCACTTATCTTGTCCTCCATGGTTTCCCAAAGACAATAGACAGTGGCTTTGAGGGTCTCCCGCCAGCTCCCTGGTGCCTCTAGGGTGCAGTTCCTTGGAGCCTGGAGACCTGAACTCATTCAGCCCAGGGAGATGGTCCTTGAGCAGTTGCCTGTCGACCCTGAGCTGCCTTCCTGCTCCTTCAGCTTCTACGTCGCCTTAAATAATCAGAAGGTGGAACGATCAGGAAGGTCATAGCTCTTCTTCTGGGAGAAGACTGAGCCGAAGTAGGAACGGAGCACTTCTGCCTCCTCTTTCTCGGCTGCACTCATTTTGCCATCCGTGTGGAGTAGCTGAACCCCTGTTTCTCTGCTCCGCCTTTTACTGTGGGCGTAGAGGAAGAGGCTTCTCGGTGCCTTTAGCATCCCCGCGAGCCTCAGCCCACGCCTAGCTTTAGCCGTCCTCCTGCCGTTCCTGCAATGCCTGCCTGCCTGTGTTCCTCCTCTGCAGCCTGGCCTGCCTTCCACCTCACATATGTGCCCTTTTTTATTTCGGATCATCTCTAAGCTTTTTGTCAAGCCACATGGGCCTCTTCTGTTGTCTTCTACCCTTTTCCATGTTGGAATTGTTTGTGATTGTGCCTTTAGAATTTCCTTTTTTAAAAATTCCCACCCATCCTGGACTCCTTTTCTCATTAGAATCACTTGCCGTGGGACCTTGCCTATCATTGTTCTGGGTTTATTAAAATCGGCTTTCTTGAAATGCAGAGTAGATGCTTGGTTACATTCGGCTTTTCCTTCCTTTAGAATCATGATTTCACGTTCCCCCGAGTTCCTGCAGCTCCCACTCTGTCCAGCAGGTCTTTGTCCCCTTTTTTGCCCAAAATTTCCTTTGGCCCATGTTCATTCCCAAGACTGTCAGCATGGAGATGGACAAAAATGCACCCGCCCCGTTTTTCTGGGAAAAAGAAGTTCTGACAGCTGTAAAAACTCTTGAGTCCCCGTTTAAAGAGGGCTCTGACAGGGCAAAGCGTGTTTTCGTGATGGGGATACACGCGTCCCCGTCAAACCACACGGCCACTCTGGAAGGATGCCAGGGACCCCCGGAGGGGCACGCGCACGATTTTGGACCACCCAGCAAGCCATTCCGAAGCAAACCAGGCCAGCGACGCCCTGTGGGTTGCGAACCATGTCCAAAAAACACGGATGGTGTGGCCTTCTTCAGCTCGGCACTGCAGATCCCACTTCTGACGGCAGCTTGCCCCTTCCAGGCCAATGAATAGGCGCTGGGGCAGGGCTGGACTTCTTTCCCAGTTCTTTTGCTGCAGCAGGACAGAGCCGGTCCGGGGGCAGGGGGGTGGGATGTTCCACACCCCCCCTTCGAAAACAGGAAGCGTACAGAAAACAGGGATCATGTGTGGGTGGCACGCAGGGAGCAGCTCCGGTTTTCTGTAGCCTCATTGTGCCTGGCGGAGGGGCGGTCAGCTGAGTCAGCATGTCTGCCGTAAAATCCTTCTCCCAGGCGGAGAAAAAGCTGGCAGAAGGTGGAGTGGATGGCGCTTTCCCAAACAAAATGCCCTTTCTGCAGTCTTCAGAGCCCCCTCCTCCCGCTGCTGAGTCCTCCCCAGCAGGTGCGTAACCGAGGTCCCATCGGCTGTATTGGCCGTGCCCGCCTCTGGTAGCCCATTTCAAGGGGGCAAAGCCCCACACAGCCCTACAAGGTGATCCTCCAGGAGTCCTCAGGTGTTACGTCTGTGGTTGAGTTGAGCTTCCACTAGGATCCAGGAAAACTGTCCGCATCTGGTGCCATGGGTACCCCGTGGCCGTGGGGGAGTCTTGCCCGATGCAGATTTCCACAAGTGTCTCCCAGTGTCTCCCAGTATGGCTAGGAAAGGTTCAAGCTCTCGGTGAGCACAGATAGCACAGCGTCGGATGGAGACGTGGTTTGCTCAGCCCGAGGCAGAATCCCGAGGGTCATCTTGCTTCCTTCTCTGTGTAGGTCGGCGTCTTGCAGTACAGTGAGGTCGCAGTCCATGAATGGTCCCTCAAGGATTACCAAACGGCAGAACAAGTCATTGAAGCAGCCAAAAACATTAGCCGGCAGGAGGGACTGGAAACGCGGACCGCTTCTGCGATCCACAAGGCCTGGTAGGTGCACCGTGGGAGGCAGGGGACAGGTGGGTGCCCCGTCCGTGCACCGTCACATCGTGGAACCATTGGGTCCGAGAGGGTGGGCAAGCAGAGGGACTTCTGTCCTTCTGTCTGTAGCTGGCTAAGCATGTCATGCTGCCCGAGGTGGAAAATCCATTTTTTAAAAAGAAGCATTACTTTTATTTGTTTTAAATTACGTCCATAATATTAGCCACAACTACAGACAGACTTAACTTTTCAGTTAACAAAACACACATACTATGCAAGAAAATGAAGTACAGTTAGGAGCTATGACCTGATATTTACACACAGATGTTTTTCAGGGGTTTAAGACAAAGTTGTGATTATCCCGGGATGTCGCTGGAGGGTGCCAGGAGCTGTAGAACTTTTTTCGGCCTAGGATTGCTTTTTATTCTGCACACTTGCTATGCTTCTTTGCTGATTCAGTTGCAGTTGCCGCTATGCGTTCATTGTTTGAAATTAATTTGCGTGTTTTTAAACTTAAAGTCTTTTAAAACTTTATTTTTTTAAGCTTTTCATGACACAGAGAGCCTCAGTATAAAAATAGAGAGAGCGAGAGAGAGGGAGAGGGAGGGAGGGAGAGAGAGAGAGAGAGAGAGAGATAAGGGCATAGTGTTACACAAGCTTAGACTGGAAAAATACTTTTTTGGGTCTAAAACCACATAACATTTTTGGTCTAAACCTGCAGAGCATGCATTTAAGCAGTGCCCTATCCCTGAGGCACCTCCGCTTCCTGATCGGGACTGTGCTTATTAACAAAGTGATGAGCGTACGCCACGTGGCGTGGAAGGTCTCAGCTCCGTTGTGCTGCATTTGTGCTCTGTGTACTCCATGTACACAGAGCACTCCATGTCCGACTCACGCCTTAGGAACTGGCGGGTGCGATAGGCCAAGACGTCCTTCCGGCGAGGCCCTGTGCCGCGGCATCTCCGGGCTCTGGCAAAGCGTCTCGGGTTATTCCGGCGGCACTTGCCCCATGGACCAGGCTGGTTGCCAGCCCCAGCGTGACCCCAGCTCTCACTCCACAGCTTGGCTGCCTCTGCAGGAGGCGCCGCTCCTAGACCAGGGACCGCGTCACCAAGCCGCCTTCTCTGCCCCCTCCCAATTTCTCTCTCCAGCACTGAGGCCTTCAGTCCAGAAAGAGGAGGGAGGAAAGGGGCCACGAAGCTGATGATCGTGGTGACCGACGGGGAGTCCCACGACGGCGACGAGCTCCCTGACGCCCTGGAGGAGTGTGAGGAACGGAACGTGACCCGCTACGCCATTGCGGTGAGGACTGGGGCTCTGGCATCCCTGGGAGAGCTTGCGTGTGCATGTGTGTGTGCGTGTGTGTGCAGCTGGAAAAGGCTGCACCAGAGGAAGGAAGGACGGAAGGAAGGACGGAAGGAAGGAAGGAAGGAAGGAAGGACAAAGGACAGTTCACAACCTAGTTTTTCAACCCTGCACTGAGCCCAGCTCCCTTCCTCCTTCAAATTTCAGTGGCAGATCAGTGCACATTTATTTATTTCTTTATTTAGGATATTTCTAGGCTGTCCATCACTTTGATCTCCGGGCAGCTTACAATAAAAATCAGAGATAGCTGATATCCATACTAATGAACTGGTGTCCAAGGGCACATAAAATTTATTGTACCTGCCAAGGGGACCGTTGGATGCATGATCAGCTGGGAAAAAGTCCTCCCGCTTCCAGCCATGGGGTTGTGCTCTAATTCGCCTTGAAATAAGTCGGTCTCATTGGCTTGTTTTTATCCTTCAAAGGTAATTTAAAATGTCGGTTTTGTATGCAGATGTTTGGGTTTTGCATGCACATGTTGCCTTTAATAGTCTAATCACAGTGCAATAAATAATGAAGCCCATGGCACGCGTGCGGAGAAATGGGGAGGCCTCTGATGGGGATTGGCTGAGCTGCTGTTATGTCACAGAAGGCAGGCGGAGGCATGTCCGGCTGCCATTGGCTGAGCTTTGGGAATTCTGGGAAAGGGGGCGGCGGCCAGAAAGGAGTGGGAGAAAGAAGCAGAGGGGTCGGGGTGGACTCTGGGGGGCATCAGGCAGTGGGACCCCTCAGGTCTGGGTCAGCCCTCCAGGGTCCCCCAGGAGGCCACGCCCCCTCCCTGGCCACGCCCCCTGCTCTATCATTTGGTGTTTTCCCAACGTCGCTGCTGTTCTTTTCTCCTTTCTGAAAGGCTGCCCTGCCCTTCCGTCCTGGTTCATAAGGCTTTAAGCTAGGAAACACGGCTATTTTATATTTTCCCGGCAATGTGGGCTCCACCCGCTGCGCCTTTGGCCCTGCCCACGGTTGTTCTCTTGTGCATCTCCTCCAAATGGGACTTGGCCTTCAGGCTGAGAGGGGTCCCTCACCCCAGGCCTCGAGGAGGAGCTGCAGCCAGGAACGGACCGCTGGGGGGGAACGGTCCAGCGGAGGATGCGAGAGAGGGCCAAGGCCGGAGGAGCGCGGGAGAGGAAAGGAAGTGAAGGGCAGGACCTATGGGGGTGAAAGAGGCTCAGCCGGGTGTGCCGCTCCAAGATCCTTAGCCAGGCCTCTTCCCCCTTTCTTTTCCGCATCCTCATCCATATCACCCAACAGCCGAAGCTCCCTGGGTGGTTTGCAACACGCGATAATGCAGCATAAAATGGAAGGAATAATGAACGGAATACGAATTCCGCCTCCCCTTTTCCGTGCCATCGCCATTCCCTGAGTTTTTCCGCACCCGCCGTGTCACCTTCCGGCACAGTTCGTGGATTTGCGCGCGCCCCAAGTGTCTCCTGGTTTTCGCTCCGCAGGTGCTGGGCCACTACATTCGGCGGCAGAAAGACCCGAACTCTTTCATCAACGAGATCAAATACATCGCCAGCGACCCTGACGAGAAGTATTTCTTCAACGTGACGGACGAGGCGGCCCTGAACGACATCGTGGATGCTTTGGGCGATCGGATATTTAGCCTCGAAGGTACTGGAGGGAGGAGGGCTGCTCCCCTGGGGAGGGAGGAGGAGCCGTGCCCTGAGGACCCCCGTGGCTGAAGAAGGTGGAACAAAGGTGGGCGAGCGAGAGGCACCGGGGAGCTCTCTGCCCCGGCTGCCTTCTCTTGGCGTGTTTACTCTAGTTTTTTCACCCCGCTCCCCAAGCAGAGCTCCAGACGGGCGTCCCACCTTTTGGATTGCAGTCTAAACGACACCAGGCAAATAGCAGAACGGGGAGGGAAACACGCATCACGCAGAGAACAGCAAAGCCTCACCAACACAACCGTGCCTGGATTGCAGCGGGGGGGGGGCCTCGTGAGTGCTCAGGCGTGCCAGCAGCCCCTCCTCCCCAAGCACATTTGTTTATTTAGCGTTTTACCCCATCCTAAAAATCTCTGGGCGGCTCACAAAAAGCAAAGCGCCAGCACGTGCCTTAAGGCGTCCTCCAGCGGAGCACTGGGTGGAAATCGTTCCAATTTCCCACAATGCCCTTCAGCTGCGCCAGACCAGGGAGGGTAAAGATGGCGGCCACATGGTGCCCAGTGCCGGTGGGTGAGCTCCTGGAGGGCAGGGCAGGTCCTACTGGGGGTCTGGGCCTCCGGAAAATGCCTGAAGACACCGTGCGGTCATGCTGGGCCTGGTGGGGGCCCCTTGCCCGACCCCACTAAGTAGTTCCCCATGCCTCCCTCTCCAGGTGAGCAAAAGCCCTTAGCCCCGTCAGCAGCGGGCCAGAGAGGAGTCTCCCCGGAAGCGCAGGGGGGAAGGGGGCCTTTGGTGCTTCGCAGCGAGGAAAAGCGCTTTGCACGGATCTCACCCCCCTCTTCGGAGAGAGGAGCTTTCCCTGCTGGGCAGACGGGATCCCTCTCCAGCTTTCTTCGGTCCTGTTTGCTGCTGAGTCAACGCCCGCCTCATGCTTACTCCTGAGTAGGCAAGCAGAGGCTTCTCTGCCCCTTCTCTGAGCAGAAAGTGCTGCGGAGCACCGAGGGCCTGCTTGCTCCTGAGTAAGCAAGGCACTGCTGAGAATGGCTCCCCTGCTCCTCCGCTGCAGCCTTCCCCCCACTGGAGTTCAGCCCATGGACTGGAGACACCAGGGGAGGGGGGTGGCGGATCCAGGCCCCTCGGAAGGAAATCCGGCTGCCGGCGGGAGGAGGACAGCTTGGGGGGGGGGGG